AAAAAAAAAAAAAAGAGAGACCGCTTACACTGCTCAAAGAGCAGCCCAGCTGCTATCCCATCTCTTCTCCCACCAGCTGTACCATGTGCACTCACCAATCTCACTGATGAAAGCCTGCACTACATCCTCGGGACCCTGTGTACGTGGGGTGGGCAGAAAGGACAGCTTCCTTAGACGGGCCGGGTGGACAGCTGGCAGCTTGGGGGCAGAGTTCTGCCTCTGTACAGGAACAGCCCTGAAAGCAGGGTAGAGGGCCTTCTCCTTGGGGGTCACCTCTTGGGTCTCAGGCTTTAACACCTCTGACGCAGGCTCCTCCACAGACACACCTTCAGCAGACAGACATGGCGGGGCCTTGGTCCAGGGGCTCGGCACCATGGATACCTTGTGTTTCACGTGGGGAGACACAGGCACTGACTTGACTTCCACCTTGAAGGCCTCCATCTGTGGAGCTCTAAGGCCAGCTGGCCCAAGACTGAGGGAAGGGGCCGGAAGTACATTTTCAGGAAAGCCAGCTGGAATGGCACTGGGCTCCACTGGGGGTAGAGGAATCTCTCTCCCAACAGAGGCTGGAATCAAAGGAGGTGGGGGAACAGCTGGCCAGAAGGGCGGGTGCTGTGTGCCTGGGCTCCATCCCATAGGCCTGAAGGTACAGCTGGAACTATAAGGTGAGACTGGGGCAGGAGGGGACACCCAAGGCACATTACAAGTGGGGGGCATAGCATAGGTGCTAGGGGTACCAGACACTAGGGGCACCACTGGAGGGGGAGGCAGACAAGGGTACCCCGAAGGGGACATAGGGGGATAACAAGGCCAGGGTGGCACATGGGCATAGGGAGTATAGGGATCAGGAGGCACAGGCCCCAGGGTCACTGGAAGGCTAGGAGGGTGCAAGGGAGCAGGGGGGAGACTGGGGACCCCTTGCCTGCTTGCAGGGAGGGGCACCATCGGGGGCATGCCCAGGCCACCTGGGGTGAGATGCAGAGCAGCAGCCACTAAGGGAGGAGCGGGTGCAGGAGCGGCCGGGGACACGGACTGCACAGTAGGGAGGGAAGGCTTTGTTGTCAGTGGCACCTCTTCAGGTGGCACCTGCTCAGGGAGAACTGAACCCCCAGGTTTGCTTGCAGGCTCAGGGCCAGGAGAAGCAGCACTGGGACCCACAGGCACACAGCCAGCGTCAAGAGGAGTTTCAAAACTCCTGTGCAGGGCTGTCTTCTTGGCTGGGGCTGGCGGGATGACAAGACAAGGGATGTCTGCCAGCCCTGTGGGGGTCTCTGGCAGGCTTGGCCACTTCCCAGCTGGGGGCTGGGAACTCCTCTCTTCAGCCTCTGCCTGCCGTTGCTGCCTTCGTTGCCGGTACTCAGATAGGCTAAGAGGCCGAGGTTTGGTTTCCTGGGTAGCAGCACTGGTACCCCTTTCCGCCTTTAGAGGACCAACCTCCTTGACTTCAGGGATGACAGTCTTTAAGGGGTCCAAAGTCTCTGAGTCCAGGGGTACTTGGGAAGCTGGACTTCCCTGGGCTGATGACACTGCCCCACGTCTGGGGTCAGTTGGTCGCGAATTAACTAGCACAGGATCAGCCAGAGCCACCTCATTAGGAACACAGTCAACTAGCACTGGATCAGCTAGGACAGCATCAACTGGTGACAAGTTATCCGAGATGGGAACCACCACCACGGGATCAACTGCTCCTGAGGCAGCAAGGACTGGGTCAGCAGGGAGAGCGCCAACGAGCTGGGAGCTGGCTAAGGCCACCTCACCAGGTATAGGATCAGCAAGAGCAGGGCTCACAGCACTGGGACTGGCTTCAACAGGGTCACCTGGCATGGGGGCAGCTTGAGCAGGGTCAGGCAATGGGAGACAGGCTGGAACAGCATTGGCCTGGACTGTGTCAACCAGCTTAGAATACAAGTCCAGAGGATCTTCTTTAGCAAGACTGTCTTGTGCAGCGCTTCTCTCCACATTCCCAGAGCTAGGCTTCTCCAAAGCAGCTACCCAGGCTCGCGCCCAAGCCCGAGGCTTCCCCCTTCCCTGAGGAGACCCAGCTTCTCTCTGAAGCTCTTCCGGAGGGTGCTCCTGCAAGCTGCCAGTCTGAGAGATCCCGTCAGCAGTCACAGCAGCCTGTCCACGAGAGGAAGACCTCAGCCTCCTGGTGTAGACCTCCACACCAGCTGCCACCTGCTCCTTGCTCTTCTTCCTCCTGCCTTTCCGAGCTTTCTGAAGACCCAGCACTGTACTGGGAGGTGGGGTCTGAAGCCCACTGGAAGCCAATGACACCATAGCCTCTCTGGGCTCCAAGGAGCAAGCAGAGTCCAGCAACAACTCTTCTTTCTCAGGGCAAGGAGCCACTGTGGGCATGGCAGGCTCCGTCTCTGAGTCTGGCGTGGGCACAAGTAGCTGCAATGGGTCACCTAGGAGCACAGATTCGGGTCCAGTGGGGACCTGCCGAACCACAACTGGTATCTGCAGGCCATCAGCAGCTGTGGCCGCCTGGCCCACAATCTCCAGCACCACACAACCCTCAGGCAACGTCAACTCTTCAGACTGTTCCGGAAGCTTATCTTCCAGTGATGCCAGGTGAGTGAGGTTGGGCAGGCAGTAAGGGTGCATAGCCCGCACCAGTTCACTCAAGGAAGAGATACTCTCGTCCCCGGCTGCTGGCATGGCCACCTCTGCTGCTGTCACCTCATCTTCCTCCTGTGGGCAAGCCAGGTACATTGGGAAGTCTGGGATGATGCTCATGGGATTGTCAAGCTCCCCAGCAAGCATCTGTCCACTGAAGCTGGCCATCTCTTCCTCTTCTTCACCGTCACTGCGCTGCTGGGAAGGAGGGGACTGGCTCCAGCGTGGTCTCGCCCTTGAGGACCTCCAGCTAGGAACCTTGGGAGAAGAGGACTCCAGGAAGGAAGGTGGGGAGAAATCCCAAGGGGGATCTGCAAGAGCCATCTCAACCTGCAAGAAAGGAGTGTTTTCCGCAGAGTACTTTCCAGACTGTCTTACGGGCACCCTACCCTCGTAAGTTACAGGCTGGCCAGGCTCCCCCACTCACTCTGTTGCCTCCTGTGCTGGACCCTAAAGGGTCAAGTGGGGTGATGAAGTCTCGTTCTGGAGGTGTTCGAGAAAGACTGAGCAGCTTGTGTAGCTAAGAGGGAGAGACCCGAGGTCAGACTCTGCTTTCAAGCTATATGAACGGCAGACAGACACAATTGCAAACTGCATCCCAGCCACACATCCCATCCCTGATCCACACTCACAGAAGAGCCCTCTCGAGGAGACACAAGTAGTTCCGAGTCAGGAATGCTGTCAAATGGAGACAGGTTCTCAGAATCTGCATTGTCCAAGATCTCCGTCAGAGCTGTGAGCAGCGACACTTCATTCTGGTCCTCCAGAGATAATCTGCTCTGCTCCAGAAAGACAACGGGCAGGTCCCACCAGCATCTCCAGTGAGCTACGGGGCCACTGAGAAAGGCCGGAGGCCGAAGACTCAACCTCCCACGTTCAGCTCAGCTGAACATACCACAAGGGGGATATGAGTCTGAGGCAGGGCAGATTCTGATCTCAATGATCATCCAAAGGAGACCTGTCACACTTGAGTTTATGAACTTGGGCTTCATACAGCCAGCCCCCTACCTTCAAATAAGATGTTTAGCAAACAACCCTTAGCTGCGATAGAACTGGCCTCAAAAACAGATCAGTGCCAAGTATGGTAGTACATACCTGTAATCCCAAAACTCAAGAGACTAAGGCAAGAAAAATGAAAGAGCAAGGCCAACCTGGACTACACAGTAAAACTGTCTCATACAGAATAAAAAAAAACATAGGCTGGATATGATGGCATGCTCCTATAATCCCAGCACTCTGAGAGGCTGAAGCAGGAGGGCTCCAAATTAGAGCCCAGGCTGGGCAATGTAGTGATTCAACAAGGCCCTGTCTGAAAAAATAAAACAAAACAAAAAGATACAACTCAGGAGGCTGAGGCAGAAGGACCGCTGTGACTTCGAGTCCAGCCTGGACTACACAGTGAGTTCAAGGCTAGCTGTACTACATAGTGAAACTCTGTCTCGAAAGAAAGAAAGAAAGAAAGAAAGAAAGAAAGAAAGAAAGAAAATAAAAGAAAAGAAAAGAAAAGAAATCCTCCTGCCTCAGCCTCGAATGCTGGGATTACAAGGGTGGGCTACCATACCAGCCCCTCCCCTAAAAAAAAATTTTTAAAGGAACACAGAAATCAGTGAGGCCCTGGGTTCATTCCACAGCACCACACATATGCATGCAGATACTCACATGCACACACATGCATGCGCACACACACAAGAGATCAGAACCCTATAGACATTCAGGTCAAGGGCCCAGGTAGGACAAAGGCTTTGGATCGTGGTCCAAACTAGCCAAGGCATCCTCACATGGCATAATCTGGAAGCCAGCAGCCTGATCCCATCCTCCCCTCAAGACAAACACACTTTGAGGACTCAGGTCAGGGACCCAAGAGGTAAGGATGTAGAAGCACAGAGCCATCCCCAGAACCACTCCAAGGATGTGAAGTGGAGATTTCCCCACACATACAAAACTCGAGCTCCAAGCCTAGCTCTCGCACACCTCTCCAAGGCTCCCAAAGTCCTCAATAAGCGAGATAAGGGAGGCATCCATGTAGCTCTGCACGGTCCCCAACAGCGCCTCGTCGTGCAGTGTCAGCTCCTCCATCTCCAGGTCCTTATCTCTCAGAGAGGGGCCCAGCCGAGACAGACTGACAAAGCCAGCATCTTCCCCCTCTTCAGGCAGCAGCACCTGGAGCAGGACAGACAAGGTTGAAAGGCAAGGTCCCTTGGGGTCAAAAGAAGTGTTCTGTAAACTGGATCTCCACACCCGAATTTCAACCCCCATGAAGAAAAGCCCCAACCACATGGGGCCAGGGAGATAGCTCTGTGGAATAAGCGCCTGCATGGTAAGTGCAAGGTCTGGAGTTTGATCCCCAGTCCCCCCAACCCCCCTTTGAAAAAAACCAACCATAACGGCGATATTCCAGGCAGAATACATTTTTTAAAAAATGTATTTTGTATAGGATGTCACTATGCAGCCTGGATGCATAGTAATCCTTCTGTTTCAGCCTCCCCAGTGCTGGGATTACAGGCATGCATCACCACACCTAGTCTTGGTGGCTAGCATTGGGGCCTGCACAGCAAGCAGTACCAGGGATCAAACCGTGGTCCTTCGGCCAGGGAGATGGCTCAGTGGAATAAGCACTTCCCTGGCAAGCACAAGGGCCTGAGTTCAGTCCTGGGGGGGGGGGATACAACGTGGTCCTTGTGCTTGCCTAGGCAGGCACTTAGACTACTAAACTACCTTTTTGACCCAAGCAGAAGGTAGTTTAAAACCATCCAGGGCAAGTGGAAGGACCTGGTTTCTATCCCTGGTAACGCATGCCATACCACCATGCTTGCCACCTCAGACCGTTCCCTTTCCTAACAATCACATCCTGTCCTGCCCAACCGCAAGACAATCCCTGCATCACCAAGAAAACGATTCCAAGTTCATCTGGGGCAGATGAACTTTGTATTCTACTAGTTGATACTCTTCCTGTCTCCCAGAAAAGTTTAAATACCTTACACAGTACTTTCCACTCACCTAGTGCCAAGCAATGTCATACAGCTGTTACTACACTGTGTGCGCGCCTCTAGGAATGTGCTCTGCTCCTCAACTCAACCTTCTAACTGCACAGCCACCCAACCTCTCAGGTACTTCCAAAAGAAAGGTATCTTCCCCGCCCCTACTAAGTGACAGCCAAAAGAGAAGGCCAGATTCTGGAGATGGAGGCCCCACCCCACACTTTAGAGCAGTGGCCCGCCCAGACCTGTCAAGAGTGTGGGCGTGGGCAGGGCCAGAAGTGGCTGGAGTGAAACCTAGGAGCAAGAGTGAGAGCCAGGCTGACAGACACTGTGAGGCCTAAGAAAAGGCAGAAACATAAACAAGCCTCCCCATCTCCTCCTGCAGCACAGGGAAACTCAGCATTCACCGCCTCCAAAAGGAAAAAAAAAACAACGGGGCTTGACCATACCCTTCCCACACACACTCTCCTTAAACAGCTGAGCAGTACCAGCATCCTGAGGCTGATGCAGGAACTCAAATTTGAACTCGGCCCAGGTAGCTCAAAATAAAAAAGGGATGGGGATGTAGTTCAGTGCAAAGGCCCATGGTTCAATCCCCAGAGCAACCCTAGAAAAGAGAGCTATGGGAAAGAGAGAGAGAG